ACACACACACACACACACACACACACACACACACACACACACACACACACACACACACACACACACATAAAAGTCCATTGAAACAGTCTGGCACAGTCATGCTTTCTTTGTGGAATGCATATAGCGAACATGACAACACACACACACACACACACACACACACACACACACACACACACACACAGACATGAGAGGCATGGTAAAGGGGGAGCTGGAGGAACAAATGAAAAGGGCATCCCAAAGAAAGCAAACGTGAACACAATTAGAAAGGTGTTTACACACCTCTACTATACTTTATGTTGCTTGCTATAGAGGTGAAAACGTTTCACTGTTGGATTGTCTCAACTCAAGGGCTTTCGTTATCTGCAAAAGGATTGAATATGCTTTGATTTTGGATTTGCTCATCTGGTTTGAAAAGGGGCTGTTGTGGTGAAAATTCAAAACACACACACACACACACACACACACACACACACACACACACACACACACACACACACACACACACACACACCACAAGACAGATATCTGAGCTCAATTATTGGATCCCAAAAAATGCCTCTCTGGAGATATGTGGGGATCCCTATTTACGCTCTTGTAATCCCCCTTGTATCCATCCAGCCAAACTCTGACCCGCAATCACTTCCTTCACTACCAACCTGTGCATATGGCCTCAACCTAGACTCAGCTATGAAGGTCATTCTGCTGCCTCTCTATCACTAACTCTATCCTAAGAGCTCAGAGCAGCACTGATGCAGAACACTAGGGTGAGGCACTAGCAGCATAGCCCCCTTCTCTTCCCCATGTTCTTGATCAACCTATCTTGGTGAAGTCCTCGCTACAGCTCTGATACAGGCCCACAGGAAAATCTAGACTGTCTAATGAAGTTCTGACAGCATGACGTGGATTGCTGGTACATTATCAAGGGCTTAAATGACCAATGTCTCCTGATGATCCACTACCGTCTTCCCCCAAATAGAATGTACGGTCATCATCGCTGTATCTAGATTCTAGACTGAAAGCTGCCCCAAACAAAGGCATAATCACCATACATTTTATTCGGGGGAAGACTGTAGTGTACAAGGGGATGACGGTGGGGCAGGTATCCCGAATTTCATTGTGACTTGCATGAAGTATTATGTCACGCAGTGTCGAGTCCATGTGGCTGAATGGTGCGCCCATACACCTGTTGATAAACAGACCTGAGTTCGAACCCTGATGAAACATAAAAAGGAATTACATCATGCAGGTCAACACGAAGTTTAGAAGTAACCTGTAGCCCACCTGTGTGCTCATGGATCATCAGTGACTACTGGTGGCACTCGTTGAACTGCCAAGACTGTTCCCTAAAAGGGGACGTCAAAAGAAGGGATAGCAGGGTACACATTTAACTGAGCAGTGGGTGTGACTAGGCTAGTAAGAGGTACTTCTAATCGCAGGTAGAGGAAAAGCTAGGGTTTAGGGGTTAAGCACAGGAGTAGGAGTTAAATAATTCGGAATGATAAGCAGAGTGGTGAGAGTGGCAAATAAAAAAGTTGGAAGTAACGCACGGATAGCTCCGCAAAACCGGAACAGCTGTTTCCTTGTTATTTCTTAAAAGAAGGGGCGGCGGCTTTGATACATCATCTTCAAAGTTCAAACTGACTGGCCCCAGGTAAATTCAGAGTTATTTACTCATCTTAGGTGGTTGGGACCCGAACTCAGGCCTGTATTTCAACAGTTCGTGGGTGTACCAACTGAGCTGTTTCCTGACTGATCACCAAGAATGATTGTGAAGTTTGCTGAACTGACCTAAAACGCCCCAACGTCCTGACCAGCAGCTGAGTAGAGTCTTGATTCCATGGAGACTGAGCTGAATATTTTATCCATACTGCTGACAACCTGATGCAGGTCTTTAAACTGTACTTTATCAGCTCGTCCATCAAGTGCCTAGATGCCTTCGTCTTCAACCAGTAGTCCTCTATTCTATCACTAAGCCATTCCCTGTACTTGTTGGTTATCCCAACAATACAGGTCACTCCTAGACTGACCTGATCAGCATGTTCAACATGCACGATATGCCAATAAGTACTTTGCAAACAACTTGAGCCAATTGGACTCGTATTTACTTTCTTCGTCCAGAATGGGAGTCAGTTCACAATCACTTAGTTGAGAAGGTGGATAAGACTAGGCCAGGAGGAGGAGGAAAGGGAGGAGCTGCAGAAGAAGGAGGGGGAGGAGTGGCAGGGAGGAGGAGAAAAAGAAGAAAAAGGAGGAGGTGGATGAGGAGGGGTGGCAGGAGGAGGAGGATAAAAAGAAGAAAAAGGA